CCCACCCTGCCTGTGGTCTCCGTGTTTCACTGAGCCTTCCTGGGTGAGGCTCAATGCCTATGGGGGCCTGTGCCCCAGGTCCTGCCCACACAGACTTATGCACAGGCTCTTTGTGCTGTCACTGTGTTCCTCGAAAGCTGTAAATCAAATTCCCCCTTCCAACAGGCTAGCACAGTCATTTTCAAAACTACTTTCCTGCTGGAGGGGGGCACCCTGGGAGCATTTCCTTAGGGTCTCTAACCTTGTTTGTCCTCAGTGGGACGTCTGTGTGTGGAGAGGCCTCAGGATTTGGGTGAAGATGAGGGAGGTAGGAGGTTTCTCAGGGAGCAGCTGGCTTTACCCTTCTGGAGGCAGGCAGGGAGGCTGCCCCCCCTGGGGAGCTCCTAGTGTGAGTTGGGAGACAGGGAAGTCATCTCACACTGGAGCTGCCTGGCCTCTGGGCCTGCCTCCTTTCTCAGGCAGAGCAGGAGAGTGGAGAGAGTGTAGCTTTCTCTGGGGGAGCTGAGATGGGCTCCCTGCCCACCCCGAGCCCCCTGTTCCAGGCCCACAGCCCCTGACCAGATCAGATAGGGCACGTTCCTGCAGTGAGCTGCCTGCTGACTGGGACTGGGCTGACGCAGGCAGGAAAATATTAACCCAGTGGAATGGGCACATGTAAATGTGTGCATGCCTCTGTGTGTGTCTGTCTGTGTGTGTATGTGTGCACCCACAAAGAGGTTTTCACATGTAAGACCAGACACAGATACGTAGGTGCACATACACACCTGCCCATTCACACATATACATGCTCACATACAGACATACACAAAGACACAAATGCTTCTCACACATGCAAATTCCCTCAGTATCATCTTCCAAATTCTGTCAATGAGATTGCCTCCTCTAAGAAGCCCTCCCTGATAGCTCTAGCTCATACTGGAAAGTGGCAGGCCTGAGCTCTATGGCTGGTTTCCGATGCCCAGTCAGGCAACATGACATAGGCTTTAGGGTGGAACAGGCTTGGTTTTGGATTCTGGTTCCTTAAATCACAGGACGTTTGTTTTTGGGCCAGTGGCGGTGCCTCCTGGCCCTGGCTTCCCTAGTCTCTGTCCTCTCTGTTCTGGACGCCCACGTGGGCTCTGAGAAGGATGAGAGGCTGGGCTGTGGGAAGGCGAGTGTGGTCATCGGAGAAGGTCAAAGTTATACATTGTCCTGGGTCCTGCCTGTGCCCCTGCCCCTCCCCAACCTAGCCCCCAGTTCTCCTAGGTGGGGGGCCCTGGCCTCCTGGGGCAGGGGACAGAGCCCCGATCTGGATGTTCTAGGTCTGGGTGATCTTGAGCAAGTTGTTACCTTGCTCTGAATCTCAGTTTCCTTATCTCAAGAGTTTGAAAGGTGACACTTACCTGGGTGAGACTTAAGGGTCCATTCTTTTTTGAGCAGAAGGAGAATCTTTATGACTGCAGGTGATTTCAGAGAGACCAGGGTCCCTTGAAGAACCTGCGTTGTGTTCCCACACCCATCCCTTCCCCTTTAGCCAGAGCATTTCCTTTCTTACTGATTGATACATGGGCTCCTGAGTTACACACTGGATTCGGTGGCTCAAAAGAGTCTGAAAAACCCCAAGTATAAAACAATTTGATTGAAAGTAGTTTTGTGCTAAGTTTATCAAATGGAATGTTGGTTGAAGCAAATAATTAGCTGAAATGATTAGTTTTTTACACATCAACACTTTGGGGCATATTTGGCGGGGGGAGTTCAGAGAAGTTTTAGCATCTCTTGGCAGTTTTCTTTCTTTATTCTGATTTTTAAAAATTTCTATTTGCATTTTCATTCCTAATTGGATTTCGGCCTCTTGTGTCTGCCTCATGCTGTTCCTAATAGAGAAGAATTGGAAACATTTAAAAGAGGAGACCGTTGTATGCTGTATAGTCACATACAAGTTGGGCATGTAGACCTACTGGCATGGAAGGATATTCTCAATAATGTTTGAGGGAAAAAAGTACTTGACAAAATAAGTTTCATTCTACTTATTATTGACCAAGTAAGGAGGGGATGTGATATGTGTATACATAAAAAAAGGATTAGAAGGAAATCTACCAAAATGTTAGTAATAGTTGTCACAGAGGGAAAATGGGTCTTTTAAGGTTCCTTTGGCTTGTTTGTATTTTAGGTCAAAACAGAATAAAAGAAAAGGATCTGAGATTTTTTTAATTTGTTTTCTATTAAAAAATTTCCACTCCAATGATAGACAATTATATCTGCTTGACTTGCTTGGCTATGTGTTCATAAATATTTAAATTTTCAGTTAGGTTGAACATTAATGTCCCCAATTACCAATTCACATTGTAAGGTTTTTAGTGTTGTAAGCAATGGGAAGTGGAGAGGCACCTGGCTGGCTCAGTTGGTAGAGCACGAGACTCTTGATTCTAGGGTTGTAAGTTCGAGCCCCATGTTGGGCTTAGAGCTTATTAAAAAAAAAAAAAAAGAAATAGAAGGTTGAGAGCACTGGGTTGTTTCCAAATTTTCACTAGCAAAAATAATGTATTGCAGGGGCGCCTGGGTGACTCAGATGGTTGAGCCTCTGCCTTCGGCTCAGGTCGTGATCCCAGGGTCCTGGGATCGAGTCCCACATCTGGCTCCCTGCTCAGCGGAGAGCCTGCTTCTCCCTCTGCCTCTGCACCTCCCTCTGCTCATGCTCTCTCTCTCTCTGTATCTCTCTGTCTCAAATGAATTAAAAAAAAAAACTAAAAAAAAAATGTATTGCAGACAAAATTAGAATAAGAAAACGAAATTTCTGCAAGAGGGACTAAATGCTGAGAGATACATCAAAGTTTGCAAAACTTGCCCTATAGCACACTAATATTACCACTTTGTTTTCAACCAATTTCTCATTTTCCCAAAATTAGTTTTTGACTTACTGGGCCACTGTGCCTTCATAGACCTTTTCGTGGGCCTCATCTGGATGCCAAAAGTGGTTGGTTGGGAGGATCACATATTCGCAAACCCCATTTCACAAATGAGGAAACAGAGGCCCAGGGGCAGGATGGAGCCCCTTCTCTAGCCTTCTGCAAGCCACTCCCAGAATGTGTTAGGTTTTCTCACAATCCCACTGGGCTTCAAATGCCTTCAAATAACCACCCCCTCCCCCACCCTCCCTCGCTCACTTTGGTGGACTCATCTCTGTCATCTCTTCCAGATGATTCTTGCCCCCTCCAGGCTGGCTTAGCTGCTGCCTATATTCCATCCACCTTCTCTTGGCGTATCTTAAGTCACCTGCTGTTTATCCACCTCTCCCAAGAGACAGACAGGACTGTGTCTTCTCTACATCTGGGTCTCTAGCACCTCGCCCAGTAAATGAGCCCGGGGCTTGATCCCTGACTCCAGCCAACATGGATCCCAAATTCTTCCCTCACCAACTTGGTCCCAGCCCAATCCAAGTCTGCTCAAGCTCTGACCTCATCCAAGACCCCAGCTTCACTTTTTTTTTTTTTTAAAGATTTTATTTGTTTATTTGACAGAGAGAGAGAGAGATAGTGAGAGCAGGAACACAAGCAGGGGGAGTGGGAGAGGGAGAAGCAGGCCTCCTGCCGAACAGGGAGCCTGATGCGGGGCTCAATCCCAGGACTCTGGGATCATGACCTGAGCCGAAGGCAGACGCCCAACGACTGAGCCACCCAGGCGCCCCCCCAGCTTCACTTTTGACTCTTACATCACCCTGACCCTGACAGTACACACCAGAAAGGAATAAAGGCAGGTGTCTCCCATGTCCAGGGGTATATCTCTCCCTTCCTGAAAGAAGCACTAATTATCCTGAGCCTACCTGAATCTGCAGAGTGGAGTGAGGGGCAGAGCCTTAGCCGCGGCGGGCAGCAGTGGAAAAGTCTGCTCCTTAAGGACAGCTTCTGACCGGGAAGCCCTCTGATTGCAGCCTACCCCTGCCTCTCCCTGCTGAGTGACCTGCAGGGCAATTTGGGGTAGGGACCTGGACAATGCGTGTTCAGACTTGGCTTGGTCTATTGGCACCCTCTAGAGGACAGTTCTATTAACAGGAGCTAGCTTCGGGCCACCAAATCCTACATGGTTTCCCCCCCAACCGAGGGGCTGCCTGGCCTCAGATGCTCCCGGGGCTTACTGCCCACCGCCCACCACTCTGCATGGCAGGTCTCCTCATAGTCTGCCGACCAGCAACCACTCCCTGTGTCTCAGCACCGAGTCACCTGCTCAAACACCACATTGCCCCATCCTTGGAGGTTCAGTAACACCCTGGCTCCAGGAGTCCTCTCAGATGGCAGCTGATCCCGTAGCTCACTGCGGACCCCACCTTAGTCACTAAGTTTCTGCAGCCCTGGCCTGGTGTCCCACACTCTGCTCCAGCTTTGGCTCCTTCACAGAGGTCTTGCTTACTGTTCCCAAGGGAGGCATTTTCCTGATGATGGGGCATAGGTTTCCCCTTCCCCTGCTCAGATGGGAGCTCCCAGAGGAGGAGGCCCAGGCTTCTTCTCTCCACCATAGACTAGGGACTCCAGAGGACCAGGCTTGGACCTCTATCTCCCCTCTCAGACCGGGGTTTCCCTGCCAACATGGCTTATGTGTCCTCCTTCCCCCGAGACTGGGAGGGGCCTGAGTTTCCCTTTCCTCCTCCAGAGTGGGGGTTTCCTGAGGACTGAACCAGGGTCTTCTCCCCAACCCCTTCACTGGCTGTTGATCTCCAGATCTTTCCATCTCCAGTCCCCATTCTGCACAGCTCTTCCCACAGCCAGGGCCTCAGGAGCTGTCTGGGGCCCTGGGAGGGCTTCCTCTGGCTTTGGACATACCTGGCCTGGAGGACAGGCCCTTCCTCAGGGTGGGACCCATCCTGAGCTCTACCTCTGACCTCACAAGGGCTGCCTCAGAACCTGGTCTCCGTGGCGCCACTGGTTGGAGAAGGGATGCTATTTTAGGCAGTGTGTCTGGACTTGGCCCAAGTGGCACGGGCCAAACCCCTGCCCCACTGACCTCTCCCCTGGAGGAGCAGAGCAAAGCAGCGTGTGGGGCCACCCCAAGGGGGGGGTCAAGAGGCGGGCTTTAGACTGGGGACACAGGGACAGTGGAGTCCCAGCCGGGGTGCCACCAGAGCCCGGGACAGTCATGGAGGAACAAGATCAAGAGCTGCTATAACTGAGAAGCCCCCAAGGTGGACGCTGAGGAACATAATAAGGCCCTTTGGTAGAGTGAGTTGGGCTCCAGGCAGGGCTGGGACAGGGGGCCTCCCCTGCGACCCAGGCCTCAGCGTGCTACTTCCTGGGGACCATATAGGGGGGTGGAGAGATGACGACGGGACTAGCTGGGGAAGGAACCCCGGCTGGGAGCTGAAAGCCAGGATGTTTGTTCTGGTTTAGTCCTGAGTTGCTGTGTGACACAGGCATGCCCCACACTCTCTCTGGGCTTTAGTTCCCTTACCTGTAATTTGACTACTGGGAGGAAGAGCAGTGCCACCGAGGCTGGGAGAGTGTGTTGGGCTGGCCTGTCAGGAGAGCACTGGCCAGGGGACGAGGAGAGCACGCAGACCAGACCCTGGACCAAAGCAGAAGGCATGCAGATCAGAGAGATGGGTTGATTGCTGGCTTAGCTGGAATGATTTCTCCCCTGGGAGTTCCCTCCTGAGAAGCTGGGGCTGGGGGCTGCAGGGTACTGCAGTCAGGGCTAGGGATGTGAACTTGTGCTGCAGCTACAGGGAATCTGGCTAAAGAACCAGGGGGACTTACAGGTTGGGGAAACTCAAGGGTTACCTCTGTGTGGTCATTTGCGTGGACAATGGGAATACGCTGGGGAATTTTCAGGAAAGGTAAGAGGGTAGACTTTGTTCTGAGGTGGAACTATTGACTAAATGAATTCTCAGGACCTCACTGTGTGTGTGTGTGTGTGTGTGCGCATGCACGCAAGGAAAAGGCCCTGGAAAATCAGAATTTAAGTCAGCAGCAAGAGGGCTTGAGGTTAGACTAAAGGCAGTAATACCCACATATGTGAGGGCAGAGCCACTGAGGGGAGGCTGTGGGCACCTCCATTGTCCAGAGCTGGGCTGAAACCCGGGGAAGTCAGGAGGACCTGTGAAGGGCCTGCTCCAGGGGTCCTGAGGCCAGCAAGGGTAGAGGGGGTGGGACTCCAGGGCCTTTCCCCATTGGCTGAAGCACATCCACACCCCTCCTTGCCAGCTTGGCTGGGTTGAGAGACTGGAACCGGCAGGACCTGTCCCTGTGGCTTCTCCCCTGGGAGGCTGAGGTCTGCTGAGAATGTGGGGCCAAGTTCTGTGCCCCCCCCCAGCCCTAATGACCTCTCTTTGGCTCTGCAGCATCTGAAAATCTCAAAGACAGAACATGGTTCAATCAGATAAGAAGAGGCGGTAAGTACCCTACCCATTCTCTTCCAGCCTCCCATCCCCCACCCCCAGCAGACCCCTGTGCCCTTCCTGCCCTACTCTCAGCCTCTCCCTCATGGCAGCTGACCCTCCCCAACCCCCCTCCTTCCCATCCCCCACTGGGTCAGGAGGCCCAGAACAAGGGCCTCTCCCGCCTCGGCCCTGCGCTGGGCCCTGGGATGATGGGAGACTCAGACCTGGGTGAGGGCCAAGGGGTTGGTGAGTGGGTTCCAGCTGCCTCTATGTAGGTGGTCACGCTCAACTGAACTGAACTCACTGCCTCTCACCCTCATGGGCTCAGGTCTCTTTGGGGTACAATAAAAGCCAAAGTCCTTGCAACAGCCCAGGCCCTGCCTGTCTGGTCCCGTTTCCTCTCTGACCTTCCCCCACGCCATCCCCGCTCTCTCCCACTCCAGTCACCCTGACCTCCTTGCCTTCCCCTCAGACACGCTCAGAATCCTTCAGTGATTTTCCCTCTGCCAGAAATGCTCTCCCCTCACCTCCTCATGTCTGTCACCTTCTCAATGAGGCTTACCCCAACTGCTTTACTTAAAATCATACCGCACACCCTTTTCCTTGCTCTGATTTTCCCCATAGGCCTGCCTTTCTTTTTCTTTCTTCCTTCCTTTCTTTCTTTCCTTCTTTCTTTCCTTCCTTCTTTCTTTCTTTCTTTCTTTCTTTCTTTCTTTCTTTTTCTTCCTTCCTTCCTTCCTTTCTTTCTTTCCTTCTTTCTTTCTTTCTTTTTCTTTCTTTCTTTCTTTTTCTTTTTTCTTTTTCTTTCTTTCTTTCTTTTTTCTTTTTAAGATTTTTAAAAAATTTATTTATGAGAGAGAGAGAGACAGAGAGAGAGAGAGTGCAAGTTGGGTGGGGGCAGGGGCAGAGGGAGAGGGAGAGGCAGACTCCCAGCTGAGTGCGGAGACTGACGTAGGACTCCATCCCAGGACCCCCTGGGATCACAACCTGAGCCGAAGGCAGACACTTAACCGACTGAGCCACCCAGGTGGCCCAGGCGCCACCCCCATAGTACCTTCTAACATGAAAATGTACTTGCTTATTGCATTTCTTCGCTGCCTGCGAGCTCCACGTGAGCAGAGATTTTTGTTCACTCCTGGATATACAGAATGAATGGCTCCCCCTTGTGCTGGACTCTCCTGGGGCTTTAGACACTGTTTCCAAAGACCCACTGGTGTCCCATAGGCAACAAAGTTCCAGTTGAAAACAGCCTCCACACCCGAAGCCCGCTCCTCCTCCTGTGGCCTCAGCTCAGGTCAGGATCCCTTTCTCCATTGCTCAAGCCAGAAGTCGAGACTCTGTCCTTGACACTTCTGTCTTCCCGTGCCTCATATCTAGTCACATCTAAAATATCTAGACTGTGCTCACTCCCACCATTCTTTCCACCACAACTCTCCTCCCTCACAGGCATGTTAGGCCACCACCTGCCCACTCTTCAGAAGTCTCTGCAAGCCTCACCTCCCACCCCTGGCTTCTCACCTCTGATGGCGCTGCCGTTATCCATCAGACCCACTAGATGGAGCGATCCAAGGGTGGAGATTTGGTTTGTACACTGTACCGCTGGAGCTTGGCTGGTTTACAGGTGGTTGGTTGATTAGATCATTAAATGAGCTGGTGAATAGGAGATTCCGTTAGTTGGCCAAGTTGCTAGATTATTAGTTAGTTGAAGGGTTGGTTGGTGAGTTGTTAGCTATTTAGCTCCTTGGTTAGCAGATATTACTTAGATAATTATCTGGTTGGTCGTTAGCTTCTTGGCTTGTAGGCCAGTTTTCTCATTCTACACCCTTTCCTTGAGCTATCGCCTCTCTGCCCAAGGATCAAATGACCACCTATGACCTCCAGATGTGTATCTCTAAACAAGACATGACCAGCTGCCTCCGGATTACTGGCCATCTCCACCTAGATGTCCAGGAGGCTCTTCAAACTCCACGCAGCCCGAGGGCCTCCTCACGCTCCTGCCTAAGCCTGCAGCTTCTCCCCTGTGCTCACTTGTCATTCTGCTGCTCTGCCCGAACCTGAGGTCATCACTGACCCCTCCCTCTCCATTTTCCTCTTCAATCAAACACTAAGTGTGTCATTTTCACTGTCTTCTAGCCATCTCCACAGCACCTTCTTGGCTCAGGCTGCCGTCGCTGCTCAGGCTGTGTGTGGCAGAAGCTTCCTGATTGCTCGTCACACCCTCACTCCTGCTCCCTCATTCCAGCTTCCATAGAGGAGGCAGTGCCCCTGCTTAAATCCTCCACTGAACCCTGGCCCTCTAGGTCGAGTTCAGACTCCCTAACACGGGCCCTAAGGTCTTCTGCCATCTGGCCCTGTGTCCCTCTCTGCCCACCTCATGCTACTTTCTCTCCTCTCTCTGGCCAGCCCACCCCTGGGGAGTTCGTCCTTACAAATCACATGCGGTCTTAGCGGCAAGCCTCTGCCATGCCATTCCAATGCCCTGAACTTTCCCCTGCCTCCCCTGATGCTCCTTCATCTGGCCAGCCTTCCATTCTCAACCCGTTTCCTCTCCTGTGGGAGACCCTCCCGCCCCCTCCTCTAGGTCATTTGTTTCTTCTCTGCAATCTACTGATGCCCACCTTTCACCTGTGGCAACACACCTCACACTTTATAGCAATTACTTCATTGTTTTTCTGCCTGAGAGCAGGGATCATGACAGTGTTCTCTACTACAGTGCTTGATCATAGTGGGCCTTTGATAAATCTCTGGGTCAGTGGCTGGTTGGTGGTTATTTGTTGCTTAATGTGTCTTGCTTGCTGTGTGGTGAGGAGGAAGGCGCCACAGTTGGAAAGTTCTCTTGGTGTCATTGGCTTCCTGCTCTGTCCATCTCTCCACTACCTCTGTGGTACTTTCCCAGGACCCTCTTGGGTACCTGCCTGCCTCGGGCTACTCACAGGCACTTCTTCAGGGCTGAGAGACTGGTTATAGGGGCAAGGAGACACTCCCCCCTCCACAATGCTTCATGGGAGCCAGACTTGGATGGAAGTCAACAAATTGTCCCAGCAACTCTCTATCCCTCTCCAGACGCTCAGCCCTTGCTTTGTTTCCCTGGGGTAAGGACAGAGCAAGGACCAGGGTGGGTGAGATTAAACACAGGTCTCAGCCAGAAAAGTAGAAGATGTTTTATCCATGCCTGATTTACGTTTCTTACTCCCTCTACTTATTCTGTGCTGCTGTGAGGCCGGGGAAATTTCAGGAAGCCTGGGGTGGGGTGGGGGGTGATGTTGCTATCCCAGGCAGGATGAGGTAGTTGAGGGGCTGGGGTCAGCTTCAGGCATTCAGCAGGGGGAGGGTCACCAGTCTGAACAAGCACTAAGGCCACACTTAAAGGGCTCTGTAGCTTTCTTCCTCCTCTTTAGCCTCCAGACTCCATCTCCTTCCCCAAACCAGAACTCTCTACCCCACCCCCAACAGATGATGGGAACCCGTAACTCATTTTTTTTTATCTATCTATCCATCCAAACATGCATTTATTAAACAGATATTTGTCCAGCATATACCATGTGCCAGGCCCTGTAAGAGGTTTTGGGGATCTAGTGGAGAGTACGACAGATGGAATTTTTTAATTCCCCAGTTTTCATTCAATGGACAATATCTATTGCACACCTACTCTGTGTTTGGCCCTGTGCTAGGCACTGAGCACACAACAGAGGGGAAGATCCAGTCCCTCCTCTCCTCCCTCCTCTCTCTCATTTGTTCATTCATTCGTTCACCACAGAAGTCTGTGTCCACCTGGTTGCGAGCCCGCTGCCCGTTGCAGATGCTTTCCCCTCTGGCAGAACGTGATGGAAGTTTCAGGCCTCAGTCTTTACAGAGCCCTGAGCAGACTCTGCCACACCCTGTGTTGTTTGCAGAGTGCCTCCTATTAACAAGTCGTGCCTGATGCCTGGCCTGTGTTCCCGAAGCTTGGGCTCCTACAGATAGGCAGGCAGGCAGGCAGGCAGATGGACAGCTGAGCTCTACTCTTCTGCCTGCTCTCTCCCATCTGCTTCTCCTCTGAGACTCAGTGGCCCCACAGATGGCACTTTTCGGCTCCCCACGGCCTTCTCTGCAGAATGACCTCGTTAGTGCACGCTTCCCCCTGGGCCAGTCCCCTCTAGGAAGAAGGGACCTAGCCTGGCCGTCTACCACCAGTCCCTCTCCACAGCCCTGTGGCTCTCAGTAGTCTCAGATCCCAGCTGTACCAGCTGCCCTGGGCAAGAGGAGGTGTGTGTGAGTAACCTCTGAGTTACCCATTAACTGAGACATGAGTTAAAGGGCCGATGGCAGCGAGTACAGTCGCGTCTCTTTCCTGCCCACGGGCTCGGGTTGCTGCTCCAGGTCCACCCGCAGCTCCAAGATGGTCTCATCACCCGTGGTCATGACAAGGATGCAAGCAATCATGCAGAAGGAGATGGTGCGAGAGTTCCTGGCCGAGTTCATGAGCACGTACGTCATGATGGTGAGTGGGGAGGAGGCACAGGGTGGGTGGGCTCTGAGGGAGGGGCGGGCACCCCAGGACCTCAGGAGGGTGGGGCTCAGTGAAGGCAATCCATGACCCCCTCCCCACCACTGACCCCTGGGTTCCCTTATCCATTCTCCAGCCTTGGAGTGGGAATCCTGAAGGAGAAGCATAAGAAAGTAAAGAGAGAGCTTTCTCTTTCTCGTCATCTTTTAGGGAAAGAAAGAGATCATAATGTGTGGGGGCAGAACAAAACCATGGCCTGGGGCACGGGTGTCAGGGGGCATGGCTGGAAGTGGGGGGAAGGGAAACTAAGGGTACAGGGATTAGAGAGAAGTGTCGTTGAGCGTCATGCTTTGAGAATCCTGAGGGCCGTGAGGAGCCGCTGAAGGTTTTCAAGCTGGGGAGTGATGTGTTCAGATTTGGATTTTAGAAGGCGGTTTGGGGTGCAGTGTGAGCACCCCAGCAGAACTGGCAGAACTGGTGGGAGGGGAAGCAGTTACGAGGCTGTTGACCTAGGATAGAGGGAGGGTGGTGACTGGTCCAGAGATGGGGAAGAAAGCACACATTTGAGGGACTTGTGGAGGAACCTAGACTTTGCAAGTAGTGGATGAGGGGTAAGTGCCGAGGAGGAGGCCATTCTGGAGCCCGGGGCCCACTTCCGGGTCAGAGGCTAGGTCAGTTTGGGTGTGCTCAGGTGAGGTGCCAGTGGAGACATCTGGGGGCTTGGATATAGAGGTCTGGAGCTCAAGAGAGGGACTTGGGCTGGAAGTAAGGAGTTAGAGCTCATCAGAATATGGACAGTGGTTATAAAATTGTCCAGTGAGAGTGTACAGAAAGAGAAAAAAAAATAAGGTGAGGACAGAACCCTAAAGAGAAGCATGCAAAGAAGCCTGAGGAGGAGAGGCCAGAAAGGTGGGAGGAGAGGGGGAGACCTGTTATAGAAGGAGGGTCTGGTCAGCAGTGGGAGGCTGCAGACAGGCCAGAGAAAGTGACTCCTGGCAAGGGTCTGTAGGGATTGGCAACATGGAGGCCACTGGAGACCTCGACAAGGGCTCTTTTACTGACTGATGGGACAGAAACCAGACTGCGGGTGGGATGTGAGGTTTCTTAGAAACTCCCCCTCTCTCCGCATGCAGGACATATGTGCTGGTCTCTTGTCATGATAAGTGCTCTCAACTGCCCTCCCCTCCCTGCCTCCTGCCCCCTCCCCTTTCCCCATTACCTGCCCTCCTGTTTTGACTCCTGAGCTATGAGGACAGCAACTGGATGATGTCCAGCCTTAACCCAGGGTGAAGTCATTCATTTATGACAAGACATTCCAGCCTCGTGAGGGCTGTTAAACCTTGGAACCACAGAGGTAGGAGGTGCCTCCTCAGGGAGCTCTTAGGAGAAGCCGGCACCACCCACAGGCACTGATGCCCTCCCATGTCCCTGTTTCTCTTCCTTTTATTGAGATTATTATTGAGCGCCTACTGCATGCCGGACATGATAATGCCAAACCCCTTACGTATAGTATCTTCTCAAATCCTCACAGCAAAGGGTTGTGCTCCTCCTACGAGGGAGGTTCTGTTATTATCCCCATTTCACAGATGGGCAACCTGAGCCTGCATGAGACTAAGTTACTTGTCCAAGGTCACATTTTAAGTTCAGATTAAATCCAGTCCAACCTAATATCACAGTCTTGACCCTTAGTCTCTATACTCTCTGTCCCTTCACTTAGTTATGGCAGAACTTACAACACTCTGGCTTGTTAATTCTCCCCCAGCTGAGGTAAGGCCCTCACTTTCAGGCCTTTGGTAGTCTCTGGGCCTCAATTTCCCCATCTGTAGAAGAGGAGCAGAAATATTTGCCAGGCAGATATGCTGTGAGGATGGAAGGGAAATCGCACTTATAAAAGAACTCTGTGAGGTTTCAGCTCATCTAGGACATTGTGTTGTTATTTTCAGTTTGGGGCCTGTGCCAAGAAGTGGGGGCTTTTTCAGTTATAGGAAGCTCAGTGAGTCATCGGGGCGAAGGTTTTGCCAGAAAAACTAGTGTGACCTTGGGCCCCATTTATTGCAGCCAGGATGAGGGAAGTGGACTGTTCTCCTCTGCAGCTTCCCAGGGTGCTGTGCTCAGGACTGGCCTCATGCTTGTGGGGACCCAAATGGGTTGGGCCACATTGACTGGGCATGGAGAGGAGGGGCTGGGCCCATAGGGGCCTGGAAAAGCAGCTGTCGACAGGAGACATAAAGGGAGGAGTTGCAAACTTACATGCTATGGGGGCCAGAGAGTGGACTTAGAGTGGTGGGGACTGTGGCTAAGGGCAGAGTGCCGGCCTGTGCAAAGGCATCTCTGCCACCACCCCAGTGGACGGCTGCCACGCAGGGCGGAATGCTGGCCAGCGTTGCCCGAGCTTCTGATTTTTCCAGAGGCTGAAACTTCTGGTTGTCAAAACCAAGTTACCCAAACAAAACCTGTGTTCTGGAGAGACTGGCCCACGGGCTGCCAGTTGGCAACCTTGACACAGGAGATCATGTGGGGTTTAGTCACTCATTCATTATTTTTAGCAAATGGTTTTGAGCTCGTACTTGGAAATGTGAACCCTCGGTCTTCAGACCCTCCATGCGTGCTCCAGCCCCTGCACCTCCTGACCACCCCCACGCCTGTTAGCCCGTCCTGGCCTCACTCCCCACCCCCATGTCCCATCTGTTCCTGTCCTCTCCTGCCTCATCCTACCCTTGGCCCTAAGCCTGACTGTCCCTGGGCTCCCTTGCACCTGTCTTGGAGCTCTTGGGGGACCTACATGGTCTTGCTCAACTGTCTCTTCCCTACCCTAACCAGGCTATTCCACTTGTTCTCAGACTTTCCCAAAGCTGCTCTGTACTCTGCCCCCCCCCCTTTTTTTTAAATCAGAATGGCTTGATTTCTAGCTTGACAGAGAAAACCATCAGGCAGGCTTCCCCTGTCTGGCTCCTCACCCACCTGTCGCTGCAGCCCCAGACTCCACTTACCTGTGCATCCATGTATCCCCCCTCCCTGGCGAGGGCAGGGCCCCTCCTCCATGGAGGACCCTCCACTCCTGCACCAGTCCCACCCTCCAGTCTACTCAGGTACTTAGTTCCATCCTGAGGGAGAGCCTCTCCTTCTCCCAGTCTTACCACACTGAAGTCTCTCTACTTAAACTGGCACAACACAAAACATTCCTCCCTTCCCCCTGTGAGCCCCTTCAGTGATCACGCTCTCCCTCCCTCCCTTCTCAGATAGGTTCTCAAAGAGCTGTCTGCACTGGTGTCCTTTAACTCTTCCTCATCACCTACTTACCTCTCAACTTCTGGGACCTGGTTTCTGTCCCCATGGCCTGATGATGCAGTGCTCACCACATTACTAAAGACTGCTGGATTGTCACATCCAAAGGGATGCTTTTCAGGCCTTTATGCCCTTGACCTGGAGGCGGCACGTGACCGTGGGGACCACACTCTCCTGGGAAACTCTGCTGCTCTCTGGTGTCCAGGGCACATTCTCCCTTTGCTTCTCTCCCATTGCAACACCTGCTCCAGCCGGGGGTTCTAATGCCAACCCACCGCGGGGGCGGCCCGCAGCTGGCTCCTCTCACTTTTTCATCCTCCCCGACGGCTTCAGCCATAGCTTCCATGTCCACGATTCTCCAGGCTTTCTTTTTCGAAAACACTAGAACAGAGCTGTGTAAGGGAAATACAATATGAGCCACATTTGTAATTTTTTAAAAATTTTCTAGTAGCCACATTAAAGAGGTAAAAAGCAACAGGTGAAATTAATTCGAATAATTATTGCATTTCATCCATGTAGCCAAAATATTACCAGTTCAACACATCATCAATATAAAATTATTAATACAATATTCTACGTTCTCTTTCTCCTACTAAGTCTTTGAAATCTGGTATGTACTTTACACTTAGAGCAGGTCTCAATTTGGACTGGCCACATTTCAAGTACTTAATAGCTGCATGTGGCTAGTGGCCATCATATTGGAGGATGAATCTAGACTTCCATTTCCAGCAGCCTCGATATCTATAGGTCCCTCAGAGACAGCGTATTAAAGCACATGGAATTTTCAAAGGAGGTGCCCTCTGAGTATGGTTTTAAAGTAGAGTATTGATTTTTCAGAATCTGGGATCGGGTACTCCAGACAGAGGGAACAGCACACGCAAAACCACAGAAGCATTAGAAAACAAGGCAGGCAGGGAGCAGTGTGGCTGTTTGGTGCTGAGGCTGTTTGGTACAGCTAGCTGCCTAGATTCAAATCCTGGCTCCCTCTGTGCAGGCTGTGTGCTTTGGACAAGCTGCTCAACTTCTCTAGGACTTGGTTAACAATCTGTCAAATGGGGAGAATAAGCACCTAACACAAAGGTTAGTGTGGCATAAGGGTTAAAGGAGGTGATAGATATACCTTGCTTACAAGTGCCTGACACACAATAAGTGATCAATAAGTGGTTATTATGGTTTAGTAGTAATACTATTGCTGAACATAGAGAACACTGAGTAGATATGAAACTGAGAGGCAGAAGGGATAAAATTATACAGGGTCTTAAATGGTGGCCTACTGAGTTTGGACTTTATCCTAGAAATGGAGGGGAGCCAGTAAATGTTTGAACAAGGGCAGACATGATCAAATTTTTCTGTTAGAAAGGTCACTCTGGCTGCAAGGAGGAGGCTGGGTGAGATTTGGATAGAGTGCAGGCAAAGCTGACTGGGTGTGGGGGATGAGGGAGAGGAAGCTCTCACTTGTGACAACTAGGTTTCTGGCTTGGCCGGCTGGGATGGAGAACATAGGATGAGGATCACATTTTCTGAGAGATGGTGAGCTTTCAACACAGAACCTCTGAAAAACCCACAGATGCCTTTGAAAAACCTGGACTCCCAGTAGGTATTTGAAGATAGGGATTTTGCTCCTAGGTGGAGGTTTTGGGCATTTTAGTGCATCAGGCATATCTGAAGCCATAGATCTGGTGAGAAGGCCCAGGAAGAGTGCCTGGGGAGAGACGTGACAGGGGCAAAGATGGGGTCGTCCATATTCACGAGGCAGATGAAGGGAGAATGTGGGAAGGAACTGTAGAGAGGGAGGCTGTGGAGGTAAGAGGAAACCAGGAGAGACAGAGATGTCATGGAGGCTAAAAAGGACGGACTTTCCAGAAGCACAGAGTGGTTAGGAAGGTCAAAGTTAGCAAAGTCAAGTAAGACAATGGCTAAAGGGATCTGGAGGAAATCAGGAGGCTGGAGCCCTCGGGGAGAGCTTTGGTGTCCGTGACACTTGGAAGCAGGAGCCAGACTGAGGAGGGAGAGCTAGGGAAGGGATCAAGGAGCCAGCCAGTGTGTTCTTTCCTAGAGCCTGGCCCACACAGGGAGGGGGTGTCCAGGGGTTCACAGCAGGAAGAAAGGGACCTGAGTCCGTGGGAGCTGTCAAGGGGAGGGTGGAAGATACAGGCAAGAGGGAAGTGTCTGCAGGGGGATGGAGAGGCTGGGCACGGGAGCTAGAGCTGAAGGGGAAGGCAGGTATGGATTCTGGTGGGAGCTGCAGGAGATTGAGTGAGGGCCTAGCTTCAGGCCTCTGATCTCCCTGTGAAGGGGGTCGGCGGGGGGTATCTTCTGAGGTGATCCAGCAGTTACAGATGAGCAAGAGCCAGAAGTTCAGAAATGACACCTGAGGGCAATGGAACCGTTGCTGCAGGCAAGCGGAGTAGAACCTCACTGGGCTTCCGGGGCCGCTGTGTGTGTAGGGGTGGGGTTCTGACAGAGTCCAGGCCAGTTTGGAGATCCCTTGAAGAAACTTCCTGTAGGTTGGGTTGAAGTGTAAGATACTCTGAGGGGTTCAGTCCACATCAACCATGCCCTCCTTGAAGCCCTGCTCCCTTCCCTGAACGTCAGGTGGGCTTGGGGTCTAGGGGCCTGGATGTGTCCTTAAGAGCCCCTGACATTGCCACTTCCCTCCCAGCTCCTTGTACAGCCCCACCCAGCTCTCGCTGGTCACATCATAAAGGGAAGTCAAAGAGGAAAATTTCTGGAGGAAGAGGGCATGGCAGAGGGTCTCCAATGGCAATGCACAGTGGCCTGGGGCACAGGGGCGAGGAGCCCAATCTGAGCCCGAGCCCTCCTGTGAGGTTGGGGCTTCTGTGCAGGTGGTCCCCTCAGAGGCCCTCCCTTGCAGGTGTTTGGCCTCGGCTCCGTGGCCCATATGGTTCTAGGAGGTAAATTTGGGAGCTTCCTCGGTGTCAACTTGGGTTTTGGCTTCGGAGTCACCATGGGAGTGCACATGGCTGGGAACATCTCTGGTGAGTGAGCCCGGGGCCCCATCTGATCAGCAAGGACAGGTATCCCCCTTGCGGGCTCTTCCTGCCTACCTCCAGCCAGCCCCTTCTCCAAGTCCACCTGAACCCGATCCTCACTGGCCATGGGGGGAGGGAGAACACCCTGCACCCCTTTCTTCAGACCCTCTCTGCCCAGAATCTTCCCAAGCCCCCCTGGACCCCCTATTTTTACTAGCTGGGTCATCTTAGGCAAGTTATTTAACTTCTCTGTCTCTCACTTTCCTTAATGGTGAAATGGAGATGGTGGTCCTTGCCTCATGGGGTACTTGTGAGGATTAAATGAGTCCATTCTATAAATACTAGCTGTTATTTTTGCTCTCATATTATTATTTTTAAAGATTTTACTTATTTATTTGACAGAGAGAGACAGCGAGAGAGGGAACACAAGCAGGGGGAGTGGGAGAGGGAGAAGCAGGCTTCCCGCTGAGCAGGGAGCCCGATGCGGGGCTCGATCCCAGGACCCTGGGATCATGACCTGAGCCGAAGGCAGACGCTTAACGCCTGAGCCACCCAGGCGCCCCGCTCTCATATTGTTTGTTATTATTGTTTGTCTCTGCTCTCACACCTCTGCCACTTCTGCCCCTCCCCGCAGGGGCCCACATGAATGCGGCCTTGACCTTCACCAACTGTGCACTAGGCCGCATGTCCTGGAAGAAGTTTCCCGTGTACATCCTGGGTCAGTTTCTGGGTTCCTTCCTGGCTGCTGCCACCATCTACTGCCTCTTCTACTGTGAGTGTCCTGCCCTGGGTTGTCCATCTCTGGCCTCAGCCTTGTCCTCTGAAAAACGGGCAGATCCAAGCCCAGTGTTCTGGTCTGTGAAAATATCTGGGAGAGAAAGCCTTGGAGGTGCTCCCCACCCATGGATCCTACAGCCTTAACCCTGGGACTCCAGTGGGGTTTAGCTGGTGGCAGCTTCACACTCAGTCTGTGTCTCCACAGCAGCCATTATCGAATTTTCGGGTGGACGTCTGACAGTGACTGGTCCCATAGCCACCGCTAACATTTTTGCCACCTACCTTCCTGACCACTCAACGTTGTGGAGGGGCTTCCTGGATGAGGTCAGTGGTCCAGTGTGGGTTCCCCTCCTCGAGCCCTCCCCACCTAGCAGGCAGCCCTCCCATTAGGAAGGACAAGAACTCTGGTTGGGGTCTCTGCCGGTGGGTTGGGGCTGGGGGCACTGCTGAAGCTCTGTGGTTTAGCTAGGGGCCCCAGGGGGCTGCCACGGTGTCTGCTCCCCAGGTGCTAGTGACAGGAATGCTCCAGCTATGTCTCTTCGCCATCACGGACAAGGAGAACAACCCAGCACTGCAAGGGACACAGGCCCTGGTGATTGGCATCCTCGTTGTTGTCATTGGAGTGTCCCTGGGCATGAACACAGGATATGCCATGAACCCATCCCGGGACCTGCCTCCCCGCTTCTTCACTTACATTGCTGGCTGGGGTATACAGGTCTTCAGGTACTGCCCTGCCCAGCCCATTCCTGCAAGTTTTCTATGGTGCCCTGCATGCAGAGGGGCGGGGGGTGATGTGAGGAGCAGCACAGGAGAGTCCTGCCCAGCTCCCAGGTGGCCTGGGGAGACAGGTGTGGGCGCCCCCCCCTTTCCCCCAGATCAGCACCGATGCAGATCCTGTTCTTGGAGTGAATGTCAATCCTGCCCCAGACCAGCCCTGTCCCTGAATCAGGCTGAAGCTGATCTGACAGGCTCAGGGGCAACTCTTAGGCTAGAATGGGGGTCACTCCTCTACTCTCAGGCCCTACTCTCTGTCTCAGCCTGAGTGGATGCGGGTACTTTGCTGGGCATCAGCCCCCTCAGCAGGCCTCTGCCTCTTGCCTGCAGGGCCCGGGACTGGTGGTGGGTGCCAGTGGTGGCGCCGCTCCTAGGTGCCTACTTAGGTGGCATCATCTACTTGGTCTTCATTGGCTCCACCATCACACGGAGGCCCCAGATATTGGAGGACTCCATGGTGTATGAAGACCGCAGAATACCCGTGTTGCCCAAGACCATGCCAAACCCACCCATGACCTCTCCCCTCACCCCTGTCTCTGTGTCTCCCATCAACAGATCTTCAGTCCGAACTGTCCCACCCTTAAGTGACCCCATCCACCTAGAGCACTTCTAAGAAAGATTATTTGTGACCCTATCCCCCCACTCTAATAAAGAAAGCCTTGTCCAACACAGCGGCACCCCCACTTCCTGGGTGCCTCCTGTGGTTGGGCTTCCCTACTGGATTCTTCCAGGAACTCCAGGGTTATGCAGTAGCCCAAGGCTGGAGCACAGAGCTAAGATGTCTCTGACTCCTTCCAGCCTTGGGAACTGGGGTGCCCCTGGGGAGAATGGGGGAAGAGCTGATCTACGGCCTCAGTAGGAACAGGAGATTAAAGGATGCCAGACACAGAATGGTGGACTTTCAGGCATAGGGTAGGGAAGGGATGGTTTTGGGGAAAGGACAATAGCTAGCTGGGGGTAAGCTCTGGGGATACGTTGAGCTGCCCTGGGAGGGGACTCTAGATTCTCCCTTAGTTCTGGCTACTCCTTGGACCGGACAAAGCAAGGCCCAAGCATGTAGATCAGAGTTTCTCAAACTTTTTTTTCATTATTGCTTCCCTTAGAAGCCTTTTAGACGTTTTCTTTCTTAATCACATGGTATTTTAATACCACAGATGTACTATATATCTGTTTCAGTATTGCGTATATAGATTTGTGCCTTATACAAAATAGAGTAAGATTTTTTCATCTTCCATTTCCATGAATCAGTGTTCTTACCTTTGGAGGCAAAATCACTCCTCCACCTTGAAAATGCCTGATGTAGCCTGAAAGTAGGTAAAGGGTTGGATTCCTCTTTCTTCTACTGGTGTCAGAGCTCTTCCACACTAAGGAATTCCAGAGTCAGAAGGAAGATGCAGAGAAGGAAATTCTTCCAAAAGGTACAGAGACAGGAAATGGCTTCATGGGGTTCAGGGGGACAGGCACAGAGGTTGGGTGGAGGTGGGGCAGCCAGCATCCCCACCCACTCTGGGATCAAGCGGGAATTACCCTGCTTTCTGGGACTCAGAGGCAGCATCACCCATGGTTTCTGTCATTGTGCATTCAGCCTTTCAACAATTATTGAGAACCTCCTGTGTGCAGGCCCTGCCTGGGCACTGAAGATGTTGAAGTGGATGAGGCTGGGCCTCTGCCTTCGAGGAGCACAGTCTAATGAGGATGGATAGTCATGAGGAAGGAGCTAAGTGACCGAGAGGGGGCTGTGGGGCTCAGAGGGGGCTCACCGCCCAGCCGCGGGGCAGAGGCCAGGGATGGCTTTCCCAGAGGGAGGAGGCAGAGCAGAGTGGAGGACAAGGGTTGTCCTTTCTGGGGTTGGTTGCTGCACTTTGCAGTTTGAGGAGATTGAGGTGAGGAGGCTGGGCTTTCTTCTGGAGATGGGGACATGGTGAGATGAGATTTAGCAAGCCTGCCTGATCTGCCGTGTGCAAGCTGCTGGGAAACGGGTAGATTGGAGCCTGCGAGGGAGTATGGTGAGAGGCAATAATCCAGGAGGAGCAGCAGATGGGAGAAAGGGGATTCACTAGATATGGAGGAGGTAAAGCCCACAGGACTTGGCTCAAATTGGGAGGAGTGGGTAAGGACGCGGCAGGGGTCAGGCTGATTTAAGTTTTTGGCTTGGGCCTGGGGCTTTGGAGATGTGCCCCCTGAGAGTATGCATGGGAGACAAACTGGTTTGGAGAGGAAGATAAGTTCTATCGTGGGCATGTTGAGTTTGAGTTGCCTATGGGACTTGGGGGCAAGAGATGTGTAGCTTGAGCAAGTTATTCAACCTCTCTGGGCTTCCATTTTCTCATTTGTAAAATGGGTCTCATATTATCCACCATTTGTATCGCTGTGAATATTCAATGAAATAAAACATGTACAATGCTGAGAATAATGCTTGGCACAGAGTAAGGAAGTGCAGAATAAACAATTATGCCTTTTATTTTTTTTTGAGGATTTATTTATTATTTATAAAGATTTTATTTTTTATTATTTTTTTAAAATTTTATTTGAGAGAGTGAGAATCGAGAGCAGGAACACAAGCAGGGGGAGTGGGAGAGGGAGAAGCAGACTCCCCGCTGAGCAGGGAGCCCGATGCGGGGCTCGATCCCAGGACCCCGGGATCATGAACTGAGCTGAAGGCAGACGCTGAACGACTGAGCCACCCAGGCGCCCAAACAATTATGCCTTTTATATGGTCTGGAGATCAGAAGAGAGTTGAAGACAGAGATTGGGGAAGTCATGGTTGTGTGGCTATCACGGGGGCCGTGGGATAATGACAGGAGGGTCAGTGACCAGTGTTCTGGGAGGCGGCTGGGAGGGGTGGAGTGGGCACCTGACTGAGGAGGGGTGCAAGGTGGGTGATCACAGGGCCCTGGAAACAAAGCCAAATGTCCACGAGGAGGGGAGCAGATAATTACCCTGCCCTACAGTCACAGACAACAGGACATGATACACGTCAGTGAAAACTGAGGCACAACAGCTTCCTGTAACAACATGGAAAACGTGTGGAGGCATAAAAAGCAATGCAGTAGACTATTCAGTATGACACCAGTGGTGGTATTGAAAAACAAGCAAAAAGGAATATATTCTTTGGGCATACATATGTGATAAAACTATTTTTTTTAAAGATTTTATTTATTTTTGCAAGGGAGAGTGAGCATGAGTGAGGGGAGGGGCAGAGGGAGAAGCAGGCTCCCTGCTGGGCAGGGAGCCTGACATGGGGCTCGATCCCAGGACTCTGGGATCATGACCTGAGCCGAAGGCAGATGCTTAACCAACTGAACCACCCAGGCGCCCCCAGATAAAACTACTTTAAAAAAAAAGAAGGGATGGGGGTGCCTGGCTGGCTCAGTTGGTGGAGCCTGTGACTCTTCATCTTGGAGTTGTGAGTTTGAGCCCCTCATTGGGTTAAATAAAATCTTAAAAAATAAAATAAAAATAAAATAAAATCTTAAAAAAAAAAAAAAGGAAAGACGGATAGGAAGCATGTGGGACTGTAAAGACCAAAGACCTCACTAAGAAGGTGACTTTGCACAAAGACTTGAAGGGGGAGAGGGAGTGAGCCATGTGGACACCAGATAGGAGCATGCCAGGCTGAGGGAAGCCACTGAAAGGCCCTCAGGTGGGAGTGTGGAGGGCCACTGCTGGAATGGAAAAAGGGAAGGAAGAGTGGAAGAAGAAAAGGTCATACAAGTAGGTTAAGGTGAACTGAGGCCAGGCCCAGGGGAGAGGTAAGCCCAAGGCCTGGGGCAGAGGTAAGGGAGGTCTCTGGAAGAGAGAGGCAGACGAGATCGGGCATGTTCAGGGTGGGATGGCTGTAGGTCTCACTGCAGGCAGGCAGGCAGGCAGGAAGGGAGGGAAGAAGGGAGGAAAGAATTAGGATGAGGTGGGGTGGGCGTCAGTGCCTTGTGGGTCCCTGGCTCTTAGCTCTGCTGTCACACACACACACACACACACACACACACACGCCCTGGCTGGGTCCCTGGCTCTTAGCTCTGCTGTCACACACACACACACACCCCTCTCCTGTAAACACACACACACACACACACACTCTCCTGTAAACACACACACACACCTCTCCTGTAAACACATAGGTAAAGGGTTGGATTCCTCTTTCTTCTACTGGTGTCAGAGCTCTTCCACACTAAGGAATTCCAGAGTCAGAAGGAAGATGCAGAGAAGGAAA